CTATACCAAGAAGAGATGATCAGGTATCTGCATATATCAGAAATGAAACCTACTGACATCTTAACACAAGCTTGAACAGACTCATCTTTTTCCTCCAATTGTGAATCGCCGCTTATTTAATGCTCAGGTCGGTCCAAGTCTGGCATTGTTGATGCAGTATTTGATTATATTCAACAGACCATAACTGCAGTTCAGGCCCAGAGACGTCATCCAGTTATGATTTATGTTAATGAAACACATTCTCCATTTACTCCTGCCTGGCAGAGCCGCTCAAGCTTAAACCCTCATCCTCATTTCAATGAAAAAGAGCTCTATTGGAGATGAAAATGAGATGTGTGATTCCTGCAGGTTTTCAGCATAAATGGCTGTATGTGATTAGTATGCACAGTCTTGGGAAGAGGCGGGCTCCCCTTTTTAATTATGGATTTATTTTTTTCATTTTTTTGTGTTGGGGTGGGGGCGACGAAGACGACCCGGGTACAGCAGAGCGAGGAGGGTGAAGCAGGTTTCCCAGAACGGCGCTCCTCTTGGTGATATCCAATAGCAGCGATGCCTCCCGTGGGAACCGGGAAGGCAAAAATGTGCACACTCGTGCACGCCTAAACATACAGTCTTCACTATATGTCGCTGCAGGTTTTCATCCAGGTCGTTGCACAACCTGCCAGAGCTGTCACACTCACTGCTCTGCTGCGTTTCAATTTCCTCGCGCTCGCACAGAAACGCACGCGGATCCTCTCCATATTAAACAGCTACGCACCTGTTAACCAGACAGTTAATTGCATTGCTCGCTGCTCATCTCGACTTCGGAGCGCGTGTGCGTTTGTGGACGTGTGTGGAGCGTGCATCGACAAAAGCAGGATTGATTAGCGATATCCCCGGACTACTGAGCTGATCACTGTGTGATTGAGGAGCCTTTGAATGCTACACTTGTAATTCTCTCCCCCACCCTGAGAAAGGATCGGGATAAACAATGGAGGCTTTGTTGTCCGAACGCTCTGCTGGAAGCCGGAGCTGAGTTATTCGAGTTTCTCATACTTCCGTGGAACTCGGCCTCGTCGAGAGGATCGACCAGGGCCCTGCAGGGAATGCGATGACAGATTGTGTAGGTGCATGTGTGTGTTTGTTTGATGAATGGCGTGGCCGTGGTGTTGATCAGCGAAGCTCAGGCCAGGTAGATGAGTGTTCTCCACCACTGTGACCAGTTTAGCCTGATGGATGAAGGACATATCTGCCAGTACACCGGACTGGACACACACATGTGAGCACGTAGCGCTCTTACACACAAACACAAAACCATTGGTACCCCAGTGATGACAGAGTAGCCTGTGACCTTCCCAGCATGCTTTGCGGCGCTGTTGATGTCATGTCGTTTATAGGACCCACATTAATCATTAGTTTGTTTATAGTGTGTGTGTGTGTGTGTGTGT